GCCCCTGCTCTTAGAATCCCCCGCAATGCATTGCTCTGCCTTTCCATCCTACCTCATCCGTGCAGTTAACGTCCGCGCCTTCACCAATCACCTTCTTTACTGCACGCAGGTCTCCAGCTCGGATGGACCTCAGAAGTTTCTCCGACTGAGATTCAAAGTTCATATACATGTACAGCAAAAATACAATTTTTCAATTAAAAAAAAAATAGAGTCAATGTGAAGTGTGGTTGCAAATCACACACTCTGTCCAAGCCAAAATGTCCCACTAACAGCTCACACAAAGCAGTGGTGTGTAGCGTTACATCAAGGCTCCCAATGCACTTGGCTGGCGAAACAGTTACGTGTGCTCCTGAGCAATGTACAGTCAATTTGCACACCCACCTACAGGAAATCAAGGATGGAGATCAGCCTGGCCCAGAGATCAACTCTAGTCTGGGCTAGCAAATGCATGCGCATGCACTCGCACGTACGCGCAAACACACATACGCGCACGCACGCACACACACACAAACACCCACCCACAAATACACACACACATATGCACACTTCACCCCCACCCCCACCCTCCCGCCGCACAAGCACGATATGCATCTAGTTACCCACCAGGGACAGGGACGAATGGCTGGCAACTTGAGGCTTGGCCGGAGGTGTGGGCTTTGGAGCAACTGGTGGCTTTGAAGATTTCCCTGGGCTACTTATCTGAGCAAGAGGAATTATCAAAGCAATGAAAACTCAGATAAAACATGGGTATTTGTAATTCAGTTGAAACATGGAAATTGTGGGCACAAGTTATGCGATCGAGTCCACCAACTAAACCAGATTTTGAACTGTCAGTCGTGAACAATCTAGCACAAAACTGACCAGGAGTACGGCGACATTCCACGACATAAAGGTCAGCTTGAGCACTGCTCGATAGCGCTAACCAATTTGTAATTGAAATTTGAAATTGCGATATTGAGTAAATAACAAAAATGTAAACATAAGAAGCGCGCACACTCTCCAACTATATTGATTATTCTCTCTCTCTCTCTCATCTATCTAGTTTCAGTGACGGATAGTTACTCACAACTTCTATCCCTGTGCTCCTTTCCCCTTTTGAAAAAAATTATATACTTGAGCTGGGGAATATTAGACCCATACTAAAGCGCACTGAATATCGAGCGTGATTCCGAGTAACGTTCCAAATCTCACGTTAGTGAGAAGGACAAAAATCACGTACCATCAGAAAACAGCGGTCGGCTCTTACCTTCGTATCGCTGTCCGGAAGGAACTGGTTTGTACGAAGTTCTGCACAAACACCAAGCACATGACGAAATGAACAAGGAATTTGCGGTTTTTTTTACAAAAAATAAACCACACACCATTTGACGGCACAAAGTAGCAAGGCAGTGATGAGGCATATGATGATATGGAATGGCAGGAGTGGGGGAGGGCAGGCGCAGCTTGACCTACCATATGATTTCGCTGGCTTTGCATTCTTTGACTCGCATGTAGATAGGAAAGCACAGCCTCTTGCCATGCACTGTTAGACAACTGATGTCAACGAACGTTGCGCATTCCAACGATAATTTTTATGTACACGTGCAGTCATTTGCCGGTTTTGACAGCAATTTCCGTTAGCATCTCATCTCGCTAACTTTACCTGTCAATAATATATTATCCTGTCTTACAGTTCTGGCTAGAAAACAATTGACAGCAGCACAGCCATGCATGTTACCATGACCGTCTATGTTGCAGAGAAAAGTGGGTTACTCCCAAACCGGCGCTCCCTCTTCCCGCGACACCTGCCCCCTGGCAGTGCCCTATTTTCCGGAGTATACGCGGCCCTTTAAACACCAGCAGAGTCACCCCCAAAAAACGTCGGTGCCGCTTATTATACTGCGATGATCAAATTATCGGTGATCAATAAGATAAATGTCTGTATTTCGTGACAAAATCTGGATGTGGCGTATACTCCAGTGCGGCCTATACTCCGGATAGTACGGTATGAAATGTGCAACCCACTATAAAATTCACAAATCCTGTAAGTTTGCAATCCTAGTAATAGTTTTGTGGTCTTGAGTTCTGAAATATGGTGCCAAAAAGCCCATTGCTCATGCCTAAATACGGAATGTATGAGTAATGCATATGAGTACATTGGTATCTGCACTGTCCAACACCTCACACGACCATACCCAGGTGGCTGTGTGTGGGGTGTTGGTGGTACAATCTACGCCATTGCACACTGCTCTCATGTTGAAAGTTATATCGTTAGATTACAATGTCGTGTGTTAGGACTTCGGGGCACAGTCATAAGTTCATAAGCTTGCTGAAGATCAACTGAAGACGAGCAAGTTAAAAGGTATTAGTTCTTTTTTTGCAGCTGTAACCGCCGAAGGATCAATGTGCTCCAAATGTCTTGCATTGGTCAGGTAAGACAGATTTCGTAATGCTACCAAAAGAAGAGATCTCTGCGTTGATAACTGGCCACTGCTCAATACACGCATCATGATCTGTGCCTGGCCAACAGCTGGAAAATGGCACCAAGCACTCACCGTTCAAGATGAACTTTCCCAGAAAGTCGATGAATTCATTGTCATGCTCGTGTTTCTCTACCAAGGACTTGAGCTTGGGTTGAGCAAGATCTAAATTCGGAAGCTCCGTGTCAGTAAGCCCTCTCGAAAGCAATTCAGAGAACAGGCGACGGACAGGCTGTATACCTGTGACAATAAAGCATAAATAAAGAAAAGTTCTGGCAAAACCTCCTCAGACCGAACACAAAGGGACCGATGATAATTAGTTTGGAATAGAGGCAGTTCTTCTTATCCATATTGTGCACACAGTCAGGATCCAGTGATTCGTCCAATAGAGTTATGAATACAGTACTAGTTCTAAGCAAATGTTTATTCTATCAGTGTTCTTCTCAACGAGGATTCTCTTTTTAACAAGGGTTCACTTTGCTGCGTACGCAGGCAGTATGCAGACAATTTTGTAGACTGTTTTGAACTTGCAAGATGCGACAGAACCCTTGCAGCTAGATGGAGCGTTGGAGGTTCGGTGTGCTTTGACCACCGTTTTACAGACTAGACAAATAGCTAAGCCGAGTGATAATTTGAATTTTCTCCGCTGGCTTTTTTCCTTCTTTATCAGCAAGCCAAGGAGAAAGAATCCAGCGAAGAAAATTCAAATTCCCCTCCTTCTTCTTGCCATTTGAATTTTCTTCGCTGACTTCTTTCTTCTTGGCTTGCTGATACAGAAAGAGAAAAGCCAGCGGAGAAAATTCAAATTCACCAAAGTGAGTGATAACTTAAAAAAACACCAAAGTGAGTGATACGGCAAAGCCCACCCTACCTGTATTGTCAAGCCAAGGCACATCCGAACTGACACGCAAGTCGAAGAAGTCCAGACTGCCGACCAGATTCCACTCGAGGATGCCCAGGCCCGACAGAATGCCAGGGAACACGACCGCCGTGTAGTGGAGAGCGATGGCACAGCGTCCGGGAACCAGCAGGAACACTTCAATGCTCGTGTAGTCCCCGGAGAAGATCACCACAACCCTACCCCTGGACTGCGTCAACCGCTTCAGTCTGTTGATGATGGCGTTGCGTATGAACTCACTGTCTACAGTGTCGATGACAATGCGGATGAGAACTGGAGGTAACAACAAGCGCAAACAAGCCAAACAACGGGTTGTTTTCACATCATTATAAAAAGCTGCTGGCAAAAAACTGACGATCAAATCAATCAGAAGCCAATGTACATGGTGAAACACATCATTCGATGACATTCAAAATAGGGCTGTGCAATTTTTTTCCTAAATATTTCAACCGAGCACTCAGCGACTTTTAAAAGTTTTCTAACAGGAACTCACTAGAGGTCAACAAAAATGCTAGGAAATGATGTCATCAACTCATTCCAAATTGTGCTAGCCACACAGACATAGCCTGGCTAAATGGAACTTCTGGACTTGCACGCCTGGACTGGAGCAGGGGCGGAGTGTTACTCACCTTTCTCCGCTGAAACAGAGTATACTATCCCCTTGGACGGGCGGAATTTGTCAAAAAAGATCTTCTCGTCGATGTACCCGATGTCCTCCAGGGTTGTTCGGATGATTTCCTTGGCTCCTTCATCATTACTGCCTTGCTTCATCGATTTGTCAAAATCCTCAGCAACGTACACTGTCACATCAGTTTCGGAGAGAGCTTCTTGGGAAGCTTCGAAGAGATATGAGGATCGGAAAGTGAAAATAGCAAGAATCACCCGTATGCAATTCACATGGAACACCCATACAATCACACTTGCAATCAAGTCCGGGATATTAGCATTGCTATTCGCATCTATTTTGAATTATTAAACACGCTTCTATGGAAGTCGGACAAGCGGGAATCAGTGCATGAAAATAATCGAAAGAGGCAGGACCTTTAAACTTGGGCTTTCAGTTATAACAATAATGACCTATTTTACCTTCTTCAATACCGAATTCTTCATTGTCATCACTGCTTGGCGGAGTTAAGAGGCCCTGATTTGAAATTACTTGTGCTGTGTTTCGAAGAGCCTCTGCAAACAAGAAAACAATCAAACAGCGCAAGCCAAAACTCACTCTCAAGTTTCCTTTCTCTATGTCTCTCTCTCACTGTGTTTTTTTGTCCCTCTCTCTCTGTCTCTCTGTGCCTATCACCGTCTCTCATTCTTTCTGTCACGCTCTCTGACCCTCTTCTTTTTTTCCTTTCCCTCTCCCTCACTCTGGCTCTCTCTCCGACTCTGTCGCTCTCTCTCTCTCTCTGTCTGTCTGTCTGCCTGTCTGCTTGTCTGCCTCTCTCTCTCTCTCTCTCTCTCTCTCTCTCTCTCTCTCTCTCTCTCTCTCTCTCTCTCTCTCTCTCCCTCCCTCCCTCCCTCCGTCTCCCTCTCTCCCTCTCTCCCCCCCTCTCTCTCTCTCTCTCTCTCTCTCTCTCTCTCTCTCCGGCGAACCTACGCCGTTGGGGAAAGACCGTAGTGGAACCGTACTGTAGTTTGTGCCGTGCCTGGGCCTGTACTACGCGCCACGTGCTTGTCGCTTGTCACGTAGCGCTGGACCACGGACGTTACACCTGGAGGCACGACAACGTACTCGGGGTCATCGTCAGGAACATGCGTGAGGAGATTCGAATCCGCACTGCTGCAAACACCGTACAACCCGGAAATTCAAATGAGCTTGACTTCATCTCGTTTTGCAAGGCGGGAGAGAAGCCAGTTCGCGTTCAGCTCAGACGAAAGTTGGTTACGACTGATCTCCTGTCAGCGGCCTCAGACTGGAAACTTCTTGTCGACTCAGTTAGTGCAAAGATTTCTTTCCCTAGCTGTGTTGCACTTACCACCCTAAGACCAGATATAGTTCTGTACTCTACGAGTCGTAGGATTGTATTCTGGATGGAGTTGACAGTTTGTGCTGAGGACAGATTCAGTGTCAGTAACTCGCGGAAGAACAGGCGGTATGCGGATCTGGCCGATCAATGCCGAGCAAACGGGTGGCAGGTCGTTTCTTTTTCGGTTGAGGTAGGTGTGCGTGGTTTCATCCCGGACTCTCTTCGGAGGGCTCTGAAAGCGCTTGGGTTTTCTAATCGAAGAATAAAATTTATTCGTAATTTGTGCAGTAAGACGTCTCTGCGAAGCAGCTACATCATCTGGTTGCGTCGTCAACAAAAACACTGGTCAGAAGATCCACTTTTCTGAAGTACTGTATGTGGGGCTCCGTTTATTGAGGTGCGTTGAAATTTATTCTCTTTATCTTATTATTTCTTTTCTATAATTTCCCCATACGAGTTCCTATCGGTTGCTGTGAACACCTTGAGTGAAGAGCGCTTGCTCGAGCGTTGAACCGGGTTCTTAATCCACCATACCCAGTTCGCAGGGCTGGGCGGGGTTGTGAGCAGGCTTTCATTTCATCTTTTCTTATTATTTCTTATTATTTCTGCTTTTCATCTCATTACAAAAATTCTGCGCATTTTTCTCCATCTGCACATAAAATCTAGACTGACAACCTGCTTGTTAAATCATGCACCTGCTTTCAGGGGTAAAAACTGTAAAATGTAAGTTTCTCTCTCTCTCTCTCTCTCTCTCTCTCTCTCTCTCTCTCTCTCTCTCTCTCTCTCTCTCTCTCTGTGTGTGTGTGTCTTATCTGGATGCCAGTTGGTCTGGTCTGCCTAGCAAGCAGTCTCCGCCGTGTTCTGTATCACACTTCCCATACTACCCCATCTTTTCGCACTAAGTGTGGGCAAGAGGACACCAGCGAAGCTTACCGATATTATCAGCTACTCCAGTTCCAGCTTGAACGTAGTTGATTCGGCTGGTTGACGCTGCGGAAATCTTGTGCCTGTCGATGTACACATTGCGGGGGTCCAGGTCATCTCCCGGACGCCTGGTTTCTTGAAGGCAACATCAATACACGACAGTAGATACAATAGTCTGTCAACCGCAATCCTGACGGATAGCTGGTATATGACAAACACATTGTTCTGCAAAGATGTTTATCAGCTTGAGTAGCTCGCATCATGATCGACCTGGTTAATTGAAGAACGAGAATAGCAAAAGCTCTGAAGCTACTAGAACTTTTACTTTCAAAGTGATACGTTTGTTTAAAATGAAATGCAGTAGCGCTCTCTCTCTCTCCCTCTCCCTGTCCCTGTCGCTCTCTCTGTCTGTCTGTCTGTCTGTCTGTTTGTTTGTCTGCCTCTCTCTTTCTCTCTCTCTCTCACTCTCTATCTCTCTCTCTCTCTCTCTCTCTCAAACACACACACACACTTGTACTTGTTGCTCACTGCCAAAACTGGTCGCGTGGGTCTCCCCGGGAGAGGGGAGAGAGACTCAAAAGGAATCTTGGAAAGATGACTCAACTGGCTAATGAACCACCCAACGGCCGACACCCCCTGAAATCCCACAACTCTTGGTGGACTTGAAAATGATCCCACTTATGGGCTCACCACACCTCAGTAAGTGGGTGAGGACAAGGTGCAGAAAAAGGATTGACGGCATCAGGGTATCCGTCCTGGGATCCAACTGCAGTTACCCCTGCCCTCAGTGAAAGTAATACTTGCTACTAGTGTGGGTGGCTAAATCAGAGTGGATCTGATCTAAGCGTCACTAGCACCATTGATTACACAGGAGTTAATCTAGCCAGAAGTAGTCCATGGTTAACAGGTATGTATACATGAAATAGAAAGTATACGAACCCTTAACCCCTTTAGCGCGAGCGTCGTACTAGTATGACGCACATGAGTTGCATGCCCCACGGCCGTCGTACTAGTAGTACGACGCGCGCTGTACACTGTGCAGTGAACCTGCATCTCATAGTCGTGGGGTCCGTGTTGAGTCCATAGTGACTTGTTCAAACTATCGTAACTCACTCAATACTTGGTCGATTCTCACAATCGAAACATGTATCTGCAAGAGAAAACTCTCAGCTGGCGATAGAAACAATCGCCGAAGCGATGCGACTATCGGTTGTTGAGATATGCGACTCGACACGGCAAATTTCAACTCGATTTTTTTGCGCAGTCTGCAGAACGCGTATTTTCCATCATGGATCATTTGTGCGCTACCTGCTGCCATGGAAACAAGATTCAAATGATGGTAGTGGATCCCGTGAGTCCTCACAAAATATTTGAGCTCGATACGAGCAAGGAGACCGAAATGGCAGCTGAATATTTGAGCTTGGTTAGTCTTGGCCGTGCTCAAGTCTGTCGAGCGCGTGGATGAAGTTTGCCAGACTGTAGCACGGGGTTTTGGTTTCGCTCCGAGCTAGGTTTGACACCAGTTTGTCACTCGTCTCAAGACCTTTCCAGGAAGCTCAAGATCGTGGAATTCGTCCAAGGGAAGGTAAAGTTATCGATCCTTGAGCAGCTAGTACTTTCATGGAAAAATGCGACTTTTACAGGTGTTGTCGTGGGGCGCGCTCAGGTAGCGTCGTGCTAAAGAGGTTAAACCAACAAAGTGTGGCAGGTACAACAATACACCTTCAAGCAGCCGGCCCTGTTGGCAACAGACCCAACACAATCAGGCATAAGTGTACCCACCAACCGAACTAGGTGGCACACACACACACACAGACACACACACACACGCACACATAATATATATACACACACACACACACACGGAGTGCGCATGTGGGGGGATAGTGGTGGTGGAGGTGGTTGTGGTGGTGGTGGTGGTGGTGGTGGTGGTGGTGTGTGTGTGTGTGTGTGTGTGTGTGTGTGTGTGTGTGTGTGTGTGTGTGTGTGTGTGTGTAGACCAGGTTAAAATTAGTGGTGGTCAATTCATCAGCCTTGCAGGCTATTGAATGGTGTTATCCCAGCACAAATTCCTATGTCTAACATAGCTGTTCGCTATCATCGCTTCTGCGATGAGCTGGGCTGAGGAGGGGAGTCGGACACAGTACGGTCACTACGGTATTGACCGTACCACTTTTTGCCCCAGGTACCCTGTGAATCAATAAAATGCACTGATATGGACTCTAAATTTCCAAAATTCTCCGCTCCGCCACCCCCCCCCCCCCCACGAGTAAATTGTATTGTATTGTATTATTGTATTTACGGATTCTCTAGAGGTAAATGGGTGCATCAGATGACTCACAGTACCACCCTAACATACCTTCCGACGCCCCTGCTGAGGGTTTGTGTGTGTGTGTGTGTATGTGTGTGTGTGTATGTGTATGTGTGTGTGTGTGTGTGTGTGTGTGTGTGTGTGTGTTTGCATGCATGCGCTTGCGCGTGCCGTGCCGCGTGCGTTCGTGTGTGTAAAGATCTCAATACTGCCTGTTAAAACTTGTCACATAAGATAGTGCCCAGTTTTCTGTGCTTCTCGCATTTTGAGCACTCCGTCAAAGCTTTGGTCCAGTTTACAAATTACTGGGTCCACATGCTCACCGTCCATTCACTGCCGTGGACATTGAAATCCGATGGGATGAAGGGGCTGGTGCCCTTACTGCTTTTAGCGCCTACATACACTGTAGTTCATATACACACTGTAGAAATGGACCAGCAGTGCTCGTGGCTGCAAGGCCAGCGCGTCGTGGCCGCTTGACCTCTGAACAGATTTCGATGTTCCTTCAGTAAATTCAATATAAAGGGTTCTAAGCTTTATAACATTACACATATTATACACTTTTCCAGTTCGTATCTCTACCTTAAACTCATGAAAACAGTGTATCTTCACCTTCAAGACGGTCTTTCACAATGCTGATCATTTCATCGTAGCGCGGGGTAAAACCCATCGCCTTGACAGCGTCACAGAGTTTCAGATATGTATCCATCTCTCCGGCAACGAGCATATTGATGAGCTTCTGGTTGTGCTGCAGCTGTCCTTCATTCTTATATATTCGTGTTAGAGTCCTAACGGAGTCGCTATCCAACAAGCCCTTCCGCTGTGCAACGGTGCGAAATCGATCCGGGTCCAAATCGTTCATCCACACCTGGACGCTACTGACAAACGTATCATTACGGAAGGGATTGTCTGCGTAGAATGTGGCAATATTATGCGCACACAGACACACATACACACACAGAGACTCACACGCACACACGCACACAGACAGACAGACAAGCACGTACACACAAACACAAATATAGCTAATCCCTCTTTGTTAACAATCACCACGCAACAAACCTTGTCCGGACAGGCTAGAGTGATCTGCACATTATGCTAACATCCCACAACATCCTACCAGTTGCAGCTGTGAGCGTCCTTGTAGATAATCTATGACATTTTGTAAGTGACACGGGGCATTGTAAGCGTGACCTCAGGTCCTCCGTAAGCACCATGCCTCACCCCCTGGTACTCACCAATTCTAACCAGAGTCTGGGTGGAGCTCACCAGCAATGTGTCCAGGCGAGTTCCTTGGTTTGTAGACAGGTTAGCATATTGGTAGTGAAAAAGGAGAAGGACAAAATGTTACGAGGTATGACTAACTGTCAACCAACGTAACCAGATCTTATACAGTCAGCGAGTGCGACAAAATGGCAAAAAACTGACAGAGTACTGAGACATTTAGCGACCTGACACCACTGACTCGCTGACTGTATAAGATCTGGTTACGTTGGTGCACAGTTAGTTATAACTCGTAAAATTTTGTCCTTCTCCTTTTTCACCATAATAATATTATAATTGGCTCACCATCCGAGTTTAACATATTGCTAGTGCTTGACCAAACTTATTATGATGCATAACTGACTCACCATCCATCTTTTGGATAAGAACAACAATGTCCCAATCGCTGTCAACAGTATCACCGATCACTGGTGGCGTGGGTAGTTCCTGCTGATGAAAATGTCCCACCTGGCACACATCAGTGCCCGGCAGGACTTGACGAGAATACAATCTTGCTATCCTACACACACATGCACATGCACACACACACACACACACACACACACACACACACACACACACACACACACACACACACACACACACACACACGTGCACACACACACACACACACACACACGCACACACACACACACACACACACACGTGCACACACACACACATGCACACGCACATATATACACACACACCATGTACCATGTATACACTCGTCGCAAGAGAAGCACGCAAATCTGCAAATACATTGGATGTGCACCCACAGATTTTCACTTATCACCACTGTCCTGTCGTGTCGTGAACATTACTGTGCATAGTCACATTTCCTCAGGTTAGCATTGTGCGACATTCCTGAGGTGCTTGTTACAGATGTGAAGTAAGTTGAAAACCGCTCTGTGACCGGCGGCCCCTACCACTTGGGTCTTTTTCCTTCCCCCAGGGGACCAACCACAGTCAGTTTCTGGAACGTACTTCCAGTGGTAAAAAAGGTGATTACATTTCATAGGATTGGGAGAACTTCAAAATTCAAAGGATCGGTCGGTGCCTGAAAAGAGAGAAAACGCCGGACCCAACAGGACTCGAACACGGGACCTTGCTTGTCATGCGCAATGCTCTACCCATCTGAACTATGGGAGCAGGAAATTGCTTTTTTAATGACTGCTTCTATACTCGGTGTGTGTATGTAGAAAGTGAACTCCAGGAATGGACAGTAGATGCACTTAGTTCTACCATGAAGAGTAAACAAGCTCTCAAGACGGTGCAACGCTGCATACGGGGTCTCCGACGGCGAAAACTCACATAACGTGTTTCAGCTCTGTTTCGTCCTACGTACAACGAAGGATAGCATGCGTACAATCCGACTATCTGCCATGATCATGCTGGGGAGTTGCATAATCACAGTGATTTTCTGTCAGGGAGTGCTAATCTTATTACTCCGCTGCTCACTAAAAATGTGCTGGAAAGGTACAACGGGAACACCACACCACGTGATGTGAGTTTTCGCCGCCTCAAAACCCCGTAAAAGGGGTATCAGGTCTTGCCCACTCTTGTATGATGATATAGTGGTACCAGCGTCCAGGACAAGAAATTTGTACGAAGTATCAATCCCGCAGTGCGAAACGTTACTACATGACAACGTGACGAAGCAGTACAAACTCGTCCCAGGCACCGACTACACACGGCAATTAATGCCTTAGCCCGCGATATAGCTACCCATCTGCATCTGGAGGGCCGAATGGAATGTCTGGCCAAGGCACAAGCGTTCGTCACATAAAAAGATCATAAAGCCTACTTCCATGACAAGCTGCAATGCAGACTGATTAACCCCACCAAGTCCGAAATAGGCGTCGTAAGCAAATCCATACTGGATGGTGTTATCGGCCCTATGCGTAGCAGCGTATGTAATAATCTGTGGCAGAACACGTCAGCGGTCATCGAGTGGCCCAAGAGCATCGAAGATAAGCCGCGGTACACCTTCGTCATGTTCAACATCGTCGAGTTTTGCCCCAGCATAATGAAAGACCTTCTGCTGGATGCTCTGTCGTAAGCCGGGACGCACGTTTCAATATCCAAGAAGGACGCTGAGAAGATACTACACGCGTGAAAGTCAATGTGGTTCGAAGACAGCAAAGCGTGGATGAAGAAGGACGGGTCATTCGACGTCACAACGGGGTCGTACGACGGCGCAGAAGCCTGCGAGCTTGTTGGGGCTTTCATCCTCAGCAAACTCTGTCCACTCCTGGCTGACCAGTGCGTGGGTCTTTACCATGACGACAGACTAGCCATAATGAAGGAGGCTACAGGTCAGGATGCTGACCGCACGCGAAAACAACTCATACAGATATTCCAAGCGCACGGCCTTAAAATAACAATGAAATCCAAAAAGAAAGTCATCGACTACTTGGATGTGACCATGGATCTCGCCACCGGAACATCCCAGTCGTACAGGAAACCAAACAGTACACCCCTGCAGGGGCGTACACCGCTCGCCTCTAGGAGTGGTTCCCATGCCAACTGATCAACCAACATAATTCCACACGGCTAGTGCTCTTATACGTATCCGATGGAGTTTCTGCATAAACTGCTGGATAATGTCACTGCTACGCATATTTGATTTAAAAAGACTGAACTTTGCCAAGGCATTTTTTATGGATGTTTTGTTCAGCAGGACGATTTCATGTTATGCCGTGAAACGAGTCGCTGAAGCACATCTACACGCTCAGTCTTGAGTCGGGTTATATTCTCGGGAGGACTGCGGTAAAGCTGCCCAAACTTCGAATCACCTGGAGCAAACATTACACAGGGCAAGCAGAAGCCACCATGGCACGCCGGTCAAAAGACTACCCAGGGAAACTCCTCCAACCAGGATAGTTGAAAGCGGCGCTGTTTGCCACCCGTCTGGACACGCACAGGAAACGAAATCCTTCGCCTTCAGTGCAGCTAGTGGCGCACAATGATTGTCAATGACGGAAATCTTTTCCATGTATGGCAAATTTCGGAGGAATCAGGGATTCCACCGTGGAGGTACACTTTCAGAATATCCTTTCCAACACACTCCAATGTCACTGAAGTAAGTCTTGGATGATCCAGCAGCTTCCAACAACGGTCGCTCTACAGCTTCGCCGACGATTCCGTCCTCTGTGCTGCTCGTTGCAGACTCCACTTGGAAGTCAGGTGCGTCCGCAATCTCATCTATCGCTTGACCTTCGTCACTGGCTACACGCTTTGCCTCCTGCTCAAAATAGCTCTGAATAGAGCGCTGGCCCTCTGGATGTCGACTCTTCATTTTTCTTTTCCATAAAGCGAAAGCATCGTCAAAAACGTAACCAACTTTGTCGAAACAAACTGCAAAGGAAATGACTCTGAGATCGAGGAATCGCTGTAACTCGTATGTAGAGACTTCGTTGCACCCAGTAAGTTCAGTAGATCTACGCTGTGTCACAAAAATGCCTCAGCAGCACTTTTACACCTTGCCTTGTCACCGTCCTCGGACGGTCAGGCGAACTGCAGGCATGCATGCACTGCATGCACGCTGGGCCTTGATCAAAACATTCTCCGTAGATCTACCCACATCGAAATTATTTTACTGCCTACTGGTTCCCGGGCATCCCGGGAACCGCCCTATGTACGCCCCTGCCCCTGTACGTCGATGTGCGGTCCTGTCACCCACCGCAGGTGCTGAGACGGTATCAACAAGAGGCTGCAACGCATCTCATGCAATGAGGAAGTGTTCAACGATGCTAAATCTTTATACGAGGACGCACTAGCCTCAAGCGGCTACCCTAAAACCATGACATACAAGTATGAACCGAGCAACAAGAAGAAAAAAGCGAAAAAGGGCGCAGCCGAGACATCACCTGGTTTACCCCGCCGTGCAGTACCACGGTCAAAACCAACGTTGGCTCAAAGTTCCTATACCTCATCAAGAAACACTTCCCTGAAGGGTCGGCACTACAGAAGGTGTTTAACCAGAACAGGGCGGAAGTAAGCTACAGCTGTATGAAACACGTAGGGTCGATTATGAAAGGACACAATGCTGCAAAACTCCACCTACGACCGCCAGTTGTGCCATGCAACCGCCGGGTGAAGGCATCGTGCCCCCTCAACGGTGACTGCCAGTCGTCCGATGTCCTGTACGAGGCGCTCGTAACATCCAACGAAGCAAAGACCTACGTCGGCATGACAACTACCACATTCAAGCAGCGCTACAACAAACACTCTTCGGACTTCCGCCATGAAAGACACGCCGTATCAACTAAGTTGTCCAAGCACATCTAGGATCCTAAAAACGAGAACCGCGGATTCGACATCAGATGGATGATCAAGGATAGAGCACCTTCTTACAGTATTATCAGCAAGAAATGTGGCCTATGCCTCACCGGACAGTTCCACATCCTGAAAGCTCCAAAGGCTACCTCCCTAAACAAGAGAAGTGAGCTGGTATCCAAAATGCCCTCACCAGCGTAAGTTTCTGCTGGCCACCCCAGTAACATAGACAGCAATGAGCGCTACTGGTTTTGATGCTTGATTGTGGGCATTTGTGTGCGCTTAGATTTGTAATACGAACGTAGATGAGGGTGTATGCGTGTGCGTGCGTGTGTACATGTGCGTGTATGTGTGTGTGTGTGTGTGTATAGGTGTGTGTATATATGCGTGCGCTCGTGTGTTTGTGCATGTGCGAGTTAGGGTGTGGGTGGGTGTCTGTGTGTGCGTGTGTCTGCGTGCAAGTTAGGGTATTGTGGGCGGGTGTGTATGTGTATGTGTGTGCATGTGTGTTGGTGTGTTACTGTGTGCGGGTATGGGTGTGTGTGTGTGTGTGTGTGTGTGTGTGTGTGTGTATGTGTGTGTGTGTGTGTGTGTGTGTCTTTCATTTATCTGGGGTCCGTCGTGACACCGGATGCCCGCTCCTCTACTGACGTCAGTCGCCGCATAGCTGAGGCTTCCAAAGCCTTTGGAGCTCTTCTTCCAGTCTTGTCGGATCGCTCGCTGTCATTAGTCAGTAAGCGAAAGCTATACGTGGCCTGTGTCTTGTCCATTTTGCTGTACGGCAGTGAGTGCTGGACGCCCTTGAAAGCTGATAGTAGACGTTTGGATGCCTTTCATCATCGCTGCATCCGCACAATATTAGCCATCCCTCGCAGTCAGCAGCAATCCGATCGCATCACGTCTGCGCAGTTACGTCGTCACTGGGGTGACCCAGTGCCACTCTCTGTTAAGATGCGCCATCGTCGTTTAGAGTGGCTTGGTCATGTGGCTCGGATGTCGGAGGACCGTGTCCCATTGCAGCTGTTGTTTGGTCGTTTGTTGGCTGCGCGCCCCTTCTGCGGTCCCAGGCGTAGGTGGAGAGACGTTGTGGCTACTGACACGAAGTCCATTCCAAACTGGTTTGATTGCGCACAAGACCGGTCAGCTTGGCGAGAGCAGGTTCTGGTTTTTCAGCCTCCTCGGGCAGTAGAGAAATCCGTACTCTGCTCATCTTGCAACCGGGCTTTCTCTCGTCCTCAAGACAAGGCACGGCACAAGTGTTTGGCTGAGCGCCAACTTCCCGTCCACCAACAGCGTGGTTCAGCACAGTGCGTCAGTTGCTGCCGATGGTTCCGTAGTAAGGGTGGGCTTGCAGTTCATCGCTGCCAGCCTGCACTCCCTGAACATGCAGATACGGCATTGACGGCGTCTCTCGCTAGTTGCTGCTTCCAGCATTGTCAACGCTGCAATCGCTGCTTCAAGTCCCGGGCTGGTTTTAACCGCCATAACTGCAACCGTGGAAAACGTCTTGCTGCAGCCGATAGGGAATCACTGCCGCTGATCTGCATGCATTGCCCGAAACGTTTCCGACGACAGCAAGATTTGACGAGGCACCAGAAGTCCTGCCAATGACGGTGCACTCCAAACTCTGGCCCCCTCCGGGGGTGACATTGCCCAATGGGCAGTCATGCTATAGTAGTAGTAGTAGTGTGTGTGTGTGTGTGTGTGTGTGTGTGTGCGGGTTAGCGTGTGCGCGTTAGTATGTGTGTGAGCATGGGTGTGGATGTTTTTTGTGTGTATGCGTGTTAGGGTGCTAACGTGTAAGCGAGATTTAGCGCATGCTTATAGTGCTAGACCTACGTCAACTGCATCTGCCTCTGAAATAGCCTGTCTCTGCATACGTTCACGCGATTACTCCTCCGGCTATCGTATTATCACACCTCTCTGCACTTAGATATACCAGCGCTGCCTCCTATTCCATTGGTGTTGTCTGGTCATTGGTTCAGCCATGAAACTCTGAGTCACAACGGAATTTGCCAAGATTTTCATTGTGTGCCTTGTGTACGCCACTCTGCCTGAATCAGGTGTTGAGCACTTTCGCAGAATCTAAGCATATTGCCTCTTTACATACACAGTGTATGACGTCATTCAACAAACTATCTGGACTAGATCTAACGTGCCTCGGAGGGACACCCACGGACTGACAAGTGTCCACATACCTCAGACATGCAGGACCGTCTGAATCCAATGGAAACATTTTTTTTGAGCTTTGTGAAAACATGAAAAAGAAGTAAGAAACCGATTTGTGTCGCCGCAAACGACTGAATAAATTACATCCACAGCGATCAACCCGTTGGGCGATGACAGACTCAGTTGGTGCCACGAATGAAACTCACCTAGTCCTTGGACATCCGATGGGACGGCTGCTCAGCTCAGGTACTAGCATTCGGACAAATCTTCTATTGCAGGACGCGACTGCCAGCAACTGTGTTTCCTTACGCAATAGCACGAGTCGCCTGCACGCGTAGATGCACTGAGCTGTTCCTAGTGCATGACATCAATAATTATACAACCACAAAGAAACGGAAAAAATCGACGTAGGTCTACTCTCCTAGGAAAGCGGCAACTAACTTTGGAACTAAAGCATTCACACGATTCATTCCCTTGGGTTGACAAACACATTCTCAAACACAGGTGAACCCATGGCAAGGTCTAACAATGATGGTCAAAATGAAAATTCATCAATCACTATCCCCATGTGGCGAAGTCAACCGGAACGTAGATTTGAAAGGCAATCGTTGTGTCGCCAAATAAACTTTCAATGCAGGCATTTGGAGTGTGCTATCGCTTCACATCGACCCACAGCCGAAGGTAGAGAAACGGGGAAGGACGAAGGGCGCGTGCTTACCGCTGTTCCAAGCCAAGCTATGCTAAAGCCTAAAGCGCAAGACTCCAACGTTGTGCTTGATTGACCGAACGAGGTTATCGTCACCAGTACAGACTGCCGAACTGCGTCGCTACCGAAGCTTTGCAAACCTTGCTCACTTCGCCTACTTTCCAGCACTGTGACCCTAGCTGACTTCGCCTACTTTCCAGCAACCCTACAGTGCGTTTTTTTAAAACAGACATTTGTCGATTTTGATTTTTTAGTTTGTTCTCATTCCAAATTTGAAATTTTTTCTTCACAGCTGCGTTTGTGTGGGTCTTGGATCGAAGAAAATTAAGTTTGGAAATTGGAATAATAATAATTGTCAAAGTTAGATATTCGGACGGGTTTTGGCTGAAAATCCGGTTTTAAATGGTTTTCAGTGGATTTTGATTTTAAAACGAAAGTTTTAGCCAGGAAAGCTCATCACGTGCATGGTGTCCGCCAGAGTTCGAATCCAGTACAGTTCATCTTGATTCTTTTTTCTCTTCTTTTTCGGTACAACGCATGCATGTACATGTACATGACTGTGCAGTTGTGCACTGCTGTCTGCAGTTCTCCTAACCTTTGTAGAAAACCAGTGAGTCGTGGCTTTTCACGACTTACTGTGGCAAACTGTACTGAATAATTGAATTAATTCAAATGCTGTATTGCAATTAGCTCAATAAATCAAAACATTCCAGCATGCATGTAGGAAACTTCCCTCGATCCCTGAAAGAATGCAGTGAAAATTCAAACACCACAACAAATCACAAGGGCAATTCACACAGCACCCATAAAGAGACTAAAAGGAAGCAATACATGAGCGGTTTTACAAACACACAAACACACACACACACACACACAAACACACAATGCAAATAGGTCACAGTTGTGTCTGGTTCAACATCTGCGAATAGTAGAAGACCAGCGAGCGTCGAAACGGCCCCAATAATTCCGTGTTTTGTGTTGCACTTGTGACGACAGTATTACACAGTGAACAGATGTGCTAGGACAGCCGACGACGTATATCATCGTTGGCATCGGCCTCGTTGGTCTCCAGTCACGAACACATCGGCGCAGTTTTTCACGAATCCGTCCCGTCCACCAGTATATGCAGAACAATAAAGCGCTTGCCTTTACCTGATGGAGCTTCATTTGGTTGCTTGCCTATACACTCCTGTCACCATTGTCGGACCACCTCCTAGTAACTGTGTGACGCGCATTGACCCACGTGTCATCCAGGCATCCAGGTATGTCTCACAGGTAGGGATGCCGCCATGACACAATCCCGAGCCGTTCCATCATCATGTGTGTGATACCTCTGGTCTTGCCACACTGGAATCCCATGGAACGCAACATTTTCCAAGAGCTAGTTTTGCTCATGTCTGGAAAATCGTCGATGCTTTCTATGCAGCGAGCAGGAACTTTGTCCAGTGTTGGGTGCTCCTTCGCAGCATAGAATCCGTAAATTACTTCTTATACAGTCCAAAGCAAATCCGTCAGGGTTGAGTGGTTTTATGGCACGAGTCTCACATTGGGGATTGTCACTCTCGTTACCTTCATCACTGGAGACAGACAAGGCCAACGCAGCACGCTGATTTTCGCCGTCAGCATCCCTGGTACATCTGTTCATGGTGGAAATGCTGACGCCACACGCAACAGCAGCATGACGAATGGAATACTCGGGACCAATTCGATGCCCAGCCATTGTTCTCCTCGTCTTCGCAAAAATTGTAAAACAGACACCACCACGTAGATTCTACCATGGCCCGTTCGCGCTTTGTTATATGTGGCATGTCGAGAGAACAAGTTGCCACGAACGAAAAGACACTCGAGAAAAAGCAAAATAGGGCCACAGAGCAGTCAGCAACAAAATGATTCCTCCAGCCACGAGGAGCTAGCTCGAAGGACACTCTGAACAAAATGGCGAAATGCCACGAGTCACACCTGGTTTTCGAATTTCGCGCGCAGATTTTCGTGACGCAACTCGCATGACATTTTCTCAAAAGTGGCCTTGAGTACGTTCTCAAGGATTTCAGAGTCTATTATAAAAAAACGTACTGTAGCTGGGCCTAGGCCAGGGAGTAGGGCGCCGGTATCAGGGACATGATGACACCATGACTATGCATGAGGTCCTCTCTGTCTCTGGTGAATGACTGTGGCAGTGTGCACGATACGTAATGAGGGGAAATTTTCGGAAGGCGAACAACTCTTGTACTTGTACTTGTAGTACTAGTACTACATGTAGTAGATCTACTAGTATACTTTTTATGAGCTGCTTCGCAACCGCTGCACCTGTGTTGAGTAGCATGGAGACACTGCACTCTGCAGTACTGCCAGTACACTCTACCCTAGCCTGGCCTAGGCTGTAGACTACTCTGACTAGGCTGTAGTGTAGACTACATGTAGGCTGTAGTGTAGACTAGGCTGTAGCGTAGGTGAGCTACATGTACTAGTACAAGACTTGGTCATGATGCACATCGTTAGCTGGTGTGGAGGGGGGGGGGGGGGAGGGGGAGGGGGGATCCGGGAGGTTGGGTGGAGCTTGTCCCATCTGAGAGCCTCAATATCTGTCTTGCTGCTGAAGTAGTTTGTTACGTGTTTTCGTGACTGCCGGGCATCTTGTTCAAGTTGCTGTGGGTTGGCAAGTGAATTTTAATAATGATTGTCACGGTACAATTTTTTGTTTTATTTTATTCTATTTTTTATCGGTTCCTACAATGGAATGGTTCCTATCGGTTCCTAAAATGGATTTTGACAATTATTTTAATCCGCTTGGTTTTCGCATTTTGTATCACAATTTCGTGGTTTTCCCGAATAAAGCTTTAACTGAGAGAAGACCAGCGCTAGTCGCTTCATGTAGATGTAGATCTACATGAATACACTGTAGTACCGGTCCTGGAGCTTATGATTGCGCTAAGCATGACGAGTTAGTTGCCGTGATCGTGGAGAGGCTTGTAGTAAGGCCAGGACATGTCGACAGGCACCTACCGGTGTACCTGTGTACCACTGGCATCACCATCACGGCACCAGTCCACGGATGATCGATTTAGCGTGCTGGTGTCTCCAACCAACTGACACTGTGACAGTCTTGTCTGCAGAGCTAGACAACCAGATCACGCGTCCCAAGCAACCAAGTGACAGTCCCGAAAAGGCGCAAGGCTCCCTACCTCCTCCCTGCGAACCCTTGTCCACGTCTTCAATCAAGACAAGAGTAGATAAACAAGAGTGTGCAACTCGCGGATAGGTGGGCCCACGGCGGAATTTTTGTTGACGTAATCTTTTCGGCGACGCACGCGCTGCGAGTCTTTTGGAAAGTTTCCCCTCGTGCACTTGGCCGGGCTTTAGTACTACAACAGTACAAGGTCGTTGCCAAAGCAAGTGCATACAGTTTTCCCTTCAATTGTCGTCATTAGGCATAACACTAGACATACACATGATAAAAACAATAGGAGGACAGAGGAAGTGTTTTTACTCAGAGTTTCACGCACTAAGCGATCATCAGAAAACAGTAATTGGAAATCTGGATCAGTGACATACACATGATACATGTAGCAACCCAGTGGCATTGAGTTCATAATGAAAACTATTACCAATAGAATACACAGTCTTGAGATCCAGAGCCAGCTTCTGAAGGGTGGTATGTACTAGGCACCGGCGGAGTATGCGGCATAGTTATTGGCATAATTTGGTGGTTGAAAATTTGGAGTAAAATTTGGCATCCTTCGTAGGTAGTAGCATAACTACACGATTGCACCACAGTTCTATTTCAAGAAGTAGTACACAATTGTGTACAATGCACCTGATCAGTGCTGGCGGTCTGCATGGCAAAGGGCTTGGAGGTCATGCAGATGGTGTTTTCAATGAAAAGCAGGGTAGAAATCACGGCAATACAGTATTGTATGCTCGAACTCGTCTTCTTCAAAGTTCTTTCTCACACTGATACAGTACATGTAGCAGAAGATGCGAGTGAATCAGTCTTTATTAGGTATCCTGGGGCGGTCGAGATAGTGACGGGTAATCCGCAAAACTCCGCGTACATGTACATGTTAGAGTTTGGGCACGTGAACGAGCTATGCGCCCCCGACGTGGCAGAGTGCAGAACGAATACCGTGTCACCCTCAACCTCCCGTTTCACACCGAGTATATCAACAACAAATTCATAAATTACTCCGGAAGTACAAGATAAATGCCCAGCTGATCTACAGGAACCGCCGTCTAAGTTCTATGATTTGCACGTCTGCCCTCCGCAAACCACCATGCCGCAGGTATGTAGACCCGTCCAAGCCCCGTAAACGGGGGCGGCCCAAAGCTGCTTATGTCGCCTGCATGTCCGGTTCAGAAGCATGCACAAAGCGAAACGTCGTATACCACCTCGAGTGCAAATGTGGTGATAAGTATGTCGGAGAGACGTACCGCAGCCTCGCCACCAGGACAAAAGAACACAACGACGACGCACGCAACACAGTGAGCGGCACCGCGCTGGGTGAGCATTTCGCAGCCAAGCATGCATCTGGCTCTACGACAGGTCACAGCGAGACAGCTCACAGCGAGACAACTCACAGCGAGACAACTCACAGTGTCGTCAACTCACAGTCAAGACAACTCACAACCAAGACAACTCACTGCGCGACAACTCACAGTGTCGACAACTCACAGCGAGGCAACTCACAGCGTCCTTATTATAAAGGTAATGGTACAATAAAGACCTGGAGTCCGTGGGGGGTGGTCGTAGTAAAAACCTACAATGTATATGATAATAATAACGCGACGTTCTCGGCACTTCTCTATTTACATGCAATGCAAAGGAGAAAATAACAGAGAACTTTAATCGAGAAAGAAGACAAAGCCTGAACAAGAAGAAGACAGTAATGAAAATAAAGTAAAATTATAAGATAAAATAAAAAATAACCTTGAAATTTCCTGTAAGAATCGCATAATTATAATTATGAAATGCCAAGTTCGCAGCAACTCCTCGTAGAAACTCATCCTTCGTCCTGGTCTGAAAAGACCGGAGTATGGCACGAAGTCGCTTGTCTCGATCTTCATACTTCCTCCTCTTCTTCGGAGCCTCATGACCTGCATTTTCCCTCTCCACACACTGCTCCATCATTGCCTGCTCGACAAAAATACCATCCAGGAATTTCCAAATTGTGGGATGATGGCAGTCGATGGTAGACGAAAACTTGGGGTGCCACCCTTCTTGACTGTTATTCGTTCTGTCTTCATTTTGTAGAGTGCTGTCATGGACATTCCACAACAGAGGTGGGAATAGTGGCGTTCTGCGTTGACCATTGTGCCGAAGGGTACCAATGTAACTCTTCTCGACGTACTCCAGGATGGGATCCATTTCTGGCGACAACGTGTCAGAGCATGTTCCAGCAGAGGCATCAGGGTGATATCAGAAGCAGCCAAGCAATGAAAAGCAACCACACTGCTAAGCCGGTGTGGCTGTGAATTGTCGCGCTGTGAGTTGGTGTGGCTGTGAGTTGTCTTGGCTGTGACTTGTCTCG